TCTATGTAATGACAACATTGAGTACTAGGGCTCAAGACTGCACTGAGAGTTCATTTCTATGTAATGACAACATTGAGTACTAGGGCTCAAGACTGCACTGAGAGTTCATTTCTATGTAATGACAACATTGAGTACTAGGGCTCAAGACTGCACTGAGAGTTCATTTCTATGTAATGACAACATTGAGTACTAGGGCTCAAGACTGCACTGAGAGTTTATTTCTATGTAATAATAACAATGGGTACTAGGGCTCAAGACTGCACTGAGAGTTTATTTCTATGTAATGACAACATTGGGTACTAGGGCTCACGACTGCTCTGTCTTTTCTGCAGGATACCAGACTAATGGCCCCAGAGTAACATCACCTTGCTTGAGTCCGTCCAGTATAGAAAACACTCCGAATGTTCTCAATCTGCCGTCCAAGACACTTGTATCCACTGCAGTTCAGGAACATCAAAGGAATACGAAGATCCTTTGCTCCAGTGGCCGCAAGCTCTCTGACTATTCCATTGAAGCACTTTTAGGGCCATCTAAATCCTCTAAGCTGAAGGAAGAGAACAACGAACTGATCGGTCACGTAACGAAAGATCCGAGCAAGCAGGTTGTCCTTCAATCAACTACGGTAAAATCGCCGTTCTCTTGCTCCAGCTGCCGTAAAACGTTTGGCACTCCCCACGGGCTAGAGGTGCACGCTCGCCGTTCACACTACGGAAAACGGCCGTACTTATGTGTGCAATGTAATAAAAGTTTTGGCCACAAATTGAGTCTAGATCTTCACCGAGCTATCCATACGAATGAGAGGAGTTTCGAGTGCAAGCAGTGCGGGAAGACGTTCAAGAGGTCATCCACTCTGTCCACTCACCTGTTGATCCACTCGGACACCAGACCTTATCCGTGTCAGTACTGTGGAAAACGGTTTCACCAGAAGTCAGACATGAAAAAACATACCTATATCCATACAGGTCAGTGATAGATAGAGCTTTTTAATCTAAGGTACTTTAGTGCATGATATATATATATATACGTCCTCCAGTGGCACAGCGGTATATCTGCGGACTTATACCACTATAAACCGGGTTTCGATACCCGTGGTGGACAGAGCACAGATAGCCCATTGTGTAGCTTTGTGCTTAATAACAAACAACAACAACAACATATATATATATATATATATCATAAACACAAAGTAATTATAGCTACAACAACATTATATTGTCAGCATAACGTAGACACGTGTTTTGTTTTTTTTTTTATTCTTACAGGAGAGAAGCCTCACAAGTGTAACATCTGTGGAAAAGCTTTCAGTCAATCATCGAATCTAATCACTCACACCAGGAAACACACTGGCTTCAAGCCTTTCTCTTGTGACCAGTGCCCACGTGCTTTTCAGAGGAAAGTGGATTTACGCCGCCATGAAGAAACCCAACATAGAGAGTCCATCTCCAGTTGTACAGTGCCATCTACTTTAACGTCTGTGACATTCACTGGAAAATCTGCTCATTCATCAGAGATAGCCCTAATGTTCTCGTAAAGTACCTTTTATTCTCGATACTACGTAAAAACAGAAACAATTTGGTTCTCAACACTATGTAGAAACAACTCAGATTTGGTTCTCAACACTATGTAGAAACAGAAACAATTTGGTTCTCAACACTATGTAGAAACAACTCAGATTTGGTTCTCAACACTATGTAGAAACAGAAACAATTTGGTTCTCAACACTATGTAGAAACAACTCAGATTTGGTTCTCAACACTATGTAGAAACAACTCAGATTTGGTTCTCAACACTATGTAGAAACAGAAACAATCTGGTACTCAACACTATGTAAAAACAGAAACAATTTGGTTCTCAACACTATGTAGAAACAACTCAGATTTGGTTCTCAACACTATGTAAAACAGAAAAGTTTTGGTTCTCAACGTTATGTTAAAACAGAAAAGTTTTGATTCTCGACACTTTGTAAAACAGAAAAGTTTAGGTTCTAACACTCTGTGAAACAGCTCCTTTATATCAATTTCATTTTATTTCTTTTCACTCTTAAAATTTAAAATCTGTTCCTTGAATGAAGCAAAACAAGCTGCTTTATTGGAAAATTAGAAAGATAATTTCTTAGTAAGCCTTATGTTGGGAAACAAGACGAACTTCATGTTGTTGAGACAAAAGATGAACGATATTTTAATCATGTGTCCAAAACATTGGTGATGAAGTGTGCTCACATTAATGCTTTAGTGATATGGTTCCGCCATGTTGAGATTCAAAAGCTTGTTGATATAGAGTGGTTCCGCCATGTTGAAACCCAAAAGCTTGTTGATATAGAGTGGTTCCGCCATGTTGAAACCCAAAAGCTTGTTGTTATAGAGTGGTTACGTCATGTTGAAACCTAAAAACTTGTTGATGCAGAATGGTTCCGCCATGTTGAGACCCAAAAGATTGTTGGTGTAGAGTGGTTACGTCATGTTGAGACCCAAAAGCCTGTTGATGCACAGTAGATGAAATTTAAACTTAACGAATTCAAGTCACAATGTCTACCACGTTTAGTCTTTAGGACATTTTGAGACAAAACTCAAATATTTCATGATACAATATCACTACTCTTCTAAGACCCATCAACGTTCGGATGCAGTTTCGACGGTATTTAGATATCAAGATCTCTGGGTGTGGCACCTTTTACAGTTGATATTCAATTATAAGGTATTGTCAGTCATGTTTAGCACCAAGATCTTATTGGTATAGGATCGAGAGAAAAGACTGTGTAAGCCTTGATTGATAAGGATTTTTTGTGTCAACCAGGTAGAGAAGTAAAGCTTTCCTCGGGTAATAGCTGCCATGTTGAACACCAAGATCTTATTGGTGTAGGACCGGGAATAAAGGACTGTGTTAACCTTCAGTGACAAGGATTCTCTGTGTCAGTCAGGTTGAATAAAGCTTTCCTCGGGTAATAGCTGCCATGTTGAACACCAAGATCTTATTGGTGTAGGACCGGGACTAAAGAACTGTGTTAACCTTCAGTGACAAGGATTCTCTGTGTCAGTCAGGTTGAATAAAACTTTCCTCGTGTAATAGCAGCCATGTTGAACACCAAGATCTTATTGGTGTAGGACCGGGACTAAAGAACTGTGTTAACCTTCAGTGACAAGGATTCTCTGTGTCAGTCAGGTTGAGAAATAAAACTTTCCTCGTGTAATAGTAGTCATGTTGAACACCAAGATATTGTTGGTGTAGGACTGGGACTAAAGGACTGTGTTAACCTTCAGCAGCCATGTTGAACACCAAGATACTGTTGGTGTAGGACCGGGACTAAAGGACTGTGTTAACCTTCAGCAGCCATGTTGAACACCAAGATATTGTTGGTGTAGATCCGGGACTAAAGGACTGTGTTAACCTTCAGCAGCCATGTTGAAAGTTAATAGCTTGTGAGATAGTTGTATATTTTAAAATATAAGAGCTTTACAATGTGACAGTGGATTTTTTTGGAACTATATATATATATAAGCGCTGTTCTGTTGGCTACTTTGAAAGATCGAAACCATTGAAATTAAAACTCGACTGAACTTTGGGTTTTTTCAACTGTAACTGTTAAAAAATGTTAATATTGTCTTAGTTTATGTTTCATAACCGTGTGATTATGGAACGCCTTATAAGATATAAGTGTGGTCAGATTTCACTTTATCATATCTATTAAAACACGTCAATACTAAATTCAATAATCGGTGTCTTAAAAATTTGAGCACATTTTCTTATGACATGCGCAGTAGGTGCTGTCATCACAGAGGTGAGTGAATCTAGTCTCCCAAAACTCAAGTCTCTGCTTTTGATAGCACTCAAAGTAATATAGCCGTTATATAAAAAATCTCCGTTTCGTGTGCGTGCGTTTGAGTTTTGAAGAAAAGTGTTATTTGGTGTAAATGATGTTTACTTGTGTTTATATCACGAAGCTGAACCCTGGGCTGGCTATTTGCATGTGATTTGGTGTAAAATGTGTGATACATCACATAAAAAATTGTTGTAGTGAGTGATTATATTGTAGCTAATTTATCAACATAAAGAAACTGAGTTTCTATTCTGATGTTTCTAACGCGAAGAAATATTCCACAGGCTTTTAGATACTGATATTTCGTGAAATTTATTTATTTTTGGCATCGTAATTTTAATACGTTGCATATTTTATTTTTTCGTTTTTGTAAAAAAAAAAAAAACAACAACAATAAATATCCTTTGAAAGCTTGGGTTTTTACCGAATCATAAGTGTATATCAAAAAAGTTGATAGAATTATAACATATGAAACACAAAATCCATTTTATTATTCTAAACTCGAGGGCGATAGTCTAAAGGAAAAAAAACCCACAGATTAAAAAATATAAATCACGTTTTATTTATATATATATATTTTGTGCTTTCTTTGTCCGTGTACACTCATTCAGGTTCAGGTTTAATAAAGATTGAAAAGAGTATCACCAATGTCTCTGTTTTTATTTTATTCCATGCTTCAAAGTGAAACTCCCGCAGCGTGTTTGTTTCCCAATTTCGCACAAAGCTACATAAAATCTAGCCCCCCAGTGGCACAGCGGTATGTCTGCGGACTTACAACGTTAAAAACCGGGTTTCGATACCCGCGGTGGGCAGAGCACAGATATCCCATTGTGTAGTTTTGCGCTTAACTTGAAACAAACATAAATGCTATCTACTCTGAACCGTTCGTAACTTTGAAATGATAGACTAGGGAGACTAGTTAGGTCTCTACCTGTTAAAACACGTAAATTGATGTTGTTTAGAATTTTAAAAATAAAATAAAAAGATTCACCTTACCTTAGAATGTTGGTTAGGGGGCGCTTGAATCGCAATCTGAATGTTGCGGGTTCGAATCTCCGTCACCGAGCATGCTCGCCTTTTCAGCCGTGGGGGCATTATAATGTGATGGTCAGTCTCACTTTTCATTGGTAAAAGAGTAATTCAAGAGTTGGCAGTGGGTGATGTTGACTAGCTGCCTTCCTTCTATTCTATCACTTTTAAATTAGGGAAGGCTAACGCTGATAGCCCTCGGGTAACTTTGCGCGAAATCCCAAAAAACATTAAACATTTTTCATGATATGGACATACCTTCATAAACAGACCAAACGCCTCAGTTTTTTTCTGTCATTAGTATTAAACTAATCATTACCTTACAAGGCGTAAATTACTTATGGATTTTAGTTTCTTTATTCATCGCATATATCATTCCAAACTCAATACGCACTGTAACCTACAAACAGCTAACGTCGTGATATAAAGCCTGTGATATCTTGTGTTCAAGGTTCTTGTAGAACCAAACGTCCACGTCTATCAGCAGACATTTTGTGCAGACGCGGAGTCAGAAAACGGAATTATTTATGGGTTGTGAGCTTTAACAGATATTTTGCGTCAGTAGTTGTTCTTCTGGTAACACCCGTAGTAAATTAACGTTTTATGTTCGTGATTTAATGAAAAATAAATGGCTTAATGAAACGTCACCGTGACAAAAAAAAATAAATTGCGAATCTTCATGGTGTACAAGCCCAGACCTGTTCCCCAGGTGACAAGTTCACACAATGTACTAATTATCGATAATATAACGTTGAATCGCTGTATAATGAAAACAATAAAAGGCGTAACAAACAGAGGGCACCCTGTCGATAGCTGGAGACACCTGCTTCTGCACGTGTTACTATAGTGAGGGCACTCGAGCCCATTCGATGATCAATATCATTTCCTGGAACTTGTGGATTCGGAGGAAATTCTTGATCTATTCCATGTCTTTTGTTTGAATATGAAAGAAAAAAAAAGTACTCTCTAGTGTTTATACATCTGAAATAGAAGGCATCTATTTTAATGTTAATATCAACATTAGCGGAAGAGCAGACTGATACAGTTGATGTATGGATGGGTAGTTACTTGTTCTGAAGAGTTCCTTAAATGCCCCCCCCTCCCCAGTGGCACAGCGGTATGTCTGCGGACTTATACTGCTGGTTTCGATACCTGTGGTGGGCTGAGCACAGATAGCCCTTTGTGTAGCTTTGTGCTTAATAACAAACAACAACAATAAGCTCCTTAAAAATATATACGTATCATTTAAAGCCAGAACCTAATTTCATTCAGTTTGTTTTTCCACTAGAAAACTAAGTAAATGGATTTTCTTGTTAATATTGGGAAAATATCAAAAGAATTGGGTTCGACTTAGAAGACATTTGAACATATTTCAATGAGTCTCACAAAACCCCCGAAATTATGCTTCATTACGATAATGGCTACACCCCAGAGGAATATTTTTAGTACTGGCCAAAGCACAGGCACTCTTTCATCGAAGGAGAACTTTTGTGATCGCGCAGTACAGGTATCATGGTGCCGACCCTAATTTCGAACCACCGACCACAGGGATGTTGGTAACAAAGTACTACTACTGCTACTACTACTACTACTGCTACTACTACTACTACTACTATATTATATGTATCTAAAATCTAATTATTCATCATTTATTCTATTTTCCTTTATTTAATTATTGACCATTTATTCTGTATTTATTCATTCAGCATATGTATATACATTTTTTATTTACTTCACAATTTCACACTACTTTGCCCCCCCCCCCCAGAAAAATGTCTGCGGACGCTCGTGTTGATATTACTACTGTCACTGAAAAGAAAATCAATAAAGGCCTTACAAAGTAATC